GCCCGCCCCCTGGTGGGCTGAGCTGACCACACACACACACACACACACACACACACACACATAAATAAATAAATTTTTTAAAAAAAAAGAATCTCAAAATAAAAAATTAAAGGCCCTGGAGATGTAGCTCAGTGGTAACGTAGACTTTGTTAAGTGACAAGTACCAGGTTCTAAGTTCGATGCTCAGCACAGCAAAAAATAAAAAGCAGATTTTCTCTTAAGTTGTGGAAAGTCTTTTGCCATTATACTCTTGGTAATTACTGTAGTTATCGTTGTTCTCTGACTAAATAAATAACAAATATTATTTAGCATCCTTTCTGTGTCAAACTTTTTTTTTTTTTTTTTTTTTTTTTTTTTGGCAGAACCGGGGATTGAACTCAGGCCCTTGCACTTGCCAGGAAAGCACTTATTCCACTGAGCCATCTCTCCAGCCCTGTGTCAAACATTTTTAAGGCCCTAATGATGCAGGATTCAACGTGAAAAAATTTTCATTTCTGGAATTTACATTTTAGGAGAGAGACAATAACCATAAAACAAGGGCCGGCCAAATAGCTCAGTCGATTAAAACATCCACAAGTAGGCTCAGGGGCCGAGGGTTCAATCCCTGGGCCTGCCGTGCTGGCTCTGCCCTGGGGTGCGCTGAGATGGCAATTGAGACTGGGCGTGGTGGCATGCACCTGTAATCCCAGCTTTTGGGAGGCTATAAACAGGCGGTTCTCAACTGAGTCCGATCTAGTAGAGAGATCCTGAACACCCTGTAGACTCTTCCCTAAAAAAAAAAAACAAAACAGATAAGCAAACCCCCACCCCCATAAAACATGATCAGGAGAAATAGTCACAGTGCTGTGCAGGAAATTTAAATATAATGCTATCTCTATGAAGAGGTTAAGCCTAAAATTCAATCTCAACAGCCAGGGACCACATGGGAGCAGGTAGGGGAAGACCTCATAGGCCCGTGACCCTCAGGCAGAAGGGATTTGGGATGTTTGAAGAACAAACTCCAATCCCAGTTGGTGGACACCTAGTGAGCTAAGCAGAGAGCAATATGCAGAAAGGAAGGGGTCTGCATCACAGAAAGCTTTATAAGCCAGAGAGGGGCTGTTAGTCTGTGTGTCTGGTGGGAAGCAGGAGTACTAAGAGTGCAGCATGGCTGCCCTTGTGGGAGTAGACATTGAGGCAGAGGGGAAAGGGAAAGGCCGCTCGGAGGGCAGAAGGAGACCCTCATGAGTGACGATGGCCCTGGGCGCCAGGAAGGTGGTAGAGGAGGTGGGCAGAAGAGAGGGCGGGGTGCTGTTGCAGAGGCAGGACTTGCTGATGGTGTGGCTGTGGGGGACCAGGAAAAAGGAAGCAGTGAGATCCAGTGCTGGATTTTCCTTCAGTGTCTAGATGAGTTGGGGATGATTTTCTTTTTCTTTTCTTTTCCTCCCTTTTTTGAGGGGACAGTACTGTGGATTGAATCTAGAGTCTTTGCACTGAGGTATGCTTCCCAGCTCTTCCTTCCTTCCTTCCTTCCTTCCTTCCTTCCATCCTTCCTTCCTTCTCTCTCTCCATTCCTCCTTCCTTCATCTCTTTCTTCCTCTCTCCTTCCCTTTCTTTCATTCAACAGCTAAGTCACTAAGTCAACCCAGGTTGGACCTAAACTTGGGATCCTCCTACCTACATCAGCCTCCCACAGTGTCAGGATTGCAGAGGTGCACCAGCACACTCAGCTGAGGTGGGGAGCAAGCAAGCGTGCATGTGTGCGTGAGTGTGTGTGTGTGCGCGTGTGCTGGAGGTTGAACTCAGCACCGCAGGTATGCTAAGCACCTGCTCTCCTGGCTGGGGAAGAGTAGGTGCAGAGCTGAAAGGTGGACTGGACATAAGGATCCTTTCTCGGCTGCGTTTGGTGCTGCTCGGTGCCCCTGTGCACTGTGCTTTGGCTCCCAGGTGAGGCTGTGTCTGAGTTTTGTTCATGAATTTGGGAAATCTGATGTATTAGATAGTCCCTTAAAAAAGAGCACGAAGCGTAGATTCCATGTAAATCATCCAGGATATGATTAGAGAAAACTATAGTTGTTTGTTTTCAAAATTTTTCCAATAGTTGCTTTTATAATACATGTACAATAGAGAAAGTATGTGGTAAAGATCCATCAGTGGAAGTGGGAAAGAGGAAATTCAGCATGCACATAAACAGTGTGTGTGTGTGTGTACACTGAAGATTGAGCCCAGGTCCTTTGAACTGAACTACATCCCTAGCCCTTTTGATTTTTTTGTATTTATTTTAAGACAGGATTTTGTCAAACCTTTAAGTTGCCCAGGCTGGGCTCAAATTTGCCATCCTGCCTCAGCTTTCCGGAATACTGAAATTACATAAACCTAGTCAAGGTTAGTGGAAGTGAAGTGGAATTGGAATCAACCGTTCTTGTGGCAGCCACCAGGGGGCATCATCAGGCCTGAGCAGTTCATGAAACAGCTAGGGGCAAAGTAGCCTCCATCCTGGATGTAGTAATAATCAAAGGATTATTGACAGGATGTGTATGAATTAACTGCCTATATTAGTGGGTTGAGATCACTCAATTAAGAATAAATTTTCTAGTGGGGTGTGGTGGCACACCTCTGTAAGCCCAGCAATGGGGAGGCTGAGGCAGGAGGAGTTCAAGACCAGCTGGGGCCACAAAGTAAGCTGAAGATCAGCCTGAATTGCATAGTGAGAACTTGTCTCAAAGACAAAATAAATAAATAAATAATTTGTGTTCTGTCTGTAATGAAATTAAATGTAGATAATCGATTTCATGGTTTGTTTCTGGAGGTCTTCATTCCCTGTCATCATTGACTAGTATTTACAGACTGAAAGTTTGGGAGATGACAGTGACCTCTTTCTAAAAAGCCATTGTGGCTTGGCATCATTGAATTTACAGCTTTTTCAGCCGTTTCCACCAAGGACTGGAAGCACAGGAGAATTCAGAAATAGATTAAATTGGGGGAGTGTTTGTGAGGCTGGTTGCCAAGAAATAGCCGCTCATGTTTTAACTCACTGAAGTCCCTTGAAAAATGAAACTCAAAAGCAGAGTTGAGGGAAAGGGCTGTGTCCCCGCTACTTCTGTGGCTCGCATCTGTGTGACTGGGGAGGCCCCTCCCCCCCACC